TTCAGCTCGTCTGCTGTTTCTGTTTCATGCAGATATTTGTATGTATATTTTCACAAAACTGAAGTCAAACCATTTTGTTTTTGCTTCAAATTTCGAAATTATACAATGTAATTTAGATTAAAAACTGCTCATGCTGCATGTATGCTGCATCTTTGTTTGGATCATGAGTAAAATGCAGTGGTTGCCTCTAATTTTAAATGGAAAGAGCACAGACAAAGCCTTAGTTTGTTTATATGAAGAGATTTCTTTTATTTGTGTAACTTATTTATTTGATTTGGGGTTTGTTTTAAAATTTCGATTTAGTTTTGTTATATTTCAATTTCACAAAGAAACGTGCAGCAATAGCCTAATAAAAGGACACCTCATTTACTGTATAATTTGTCTTTAATCTCATTTTGTTAAAAAAATCGTGAGAAAATCGAATCGTGAAATCTAAATGGTGAATCGAATGGAATCGTGAGTTGAGTGACTCGTTACATCGCTACTGGTTTGATTTTGTTATTCTGCATCTGGATTTGCAGCTGTATATTTGAGCGTGACACGCACCTGTACGAGTAAAGTCATGGGGCCGCTCTTGTCGATCTCCAGGATCTCTCCGTTTTTGGTGCCGACCAGAATGTGTCCGTGTCCCAGAGTGATCGCTCTGATGGACGGGTTGTCCTCTAACAGCAGTCCTAAACAACAAGTTTTATTATACAAGCGTAACCCTCTGAAGGTCTGTGATTTGTAAGTTTTGTCATTTTTACTACATCATAATTGTAGGAAATGCGGTGACTTTTGACAAAAATGACCACCATAGAAACCGCATAGGAAATACAGAGTATTTTTTGGGGGTACAAACTACAAATCTGCCATTATGAAGTAGCCCTTCATATTGTCTGAATATATATCCAAATCTCCTAACAGATGCTAATACAGATCCGCCTGTATTAACTGAAAATAATATGCATCATTTTTCTAATATTTGCATTATTTTATCTAAAAAAAAAATTGTGTATTATTTAGAGGTAAATATTGTTGAGAACCACGAACTCCCTAAAACAATACAAAATATAAAAAAATAAATACTATTGAAACATTCAGTACATTTATTTCAAAGTTAAACAATGTATTCATTTAGCATAAACACTGTATTCATCAAAAATAATAGGATTTTTCTAATATTTGTATTTTATATAGAAATAGCATAGAATTTCGAGGTAAATATTGTCTAGTACCATTAAATCTCATGATAATACAAAATATAGTACATTCAACTCATAAACAATGTTAAACAGTGTATTAATTTAACAAACAATGTATTTATTGAAAATATTAATGGTTTTCTAATATTTGCATTTCATATAGAAACAAATAGTGTAAAATGTCTAGTACCATCAGATCCTGTCAAAATACAAAAATATTAAATAATAAATATTAGAAAACAAAATATAGTACATTAATTTATAGTACATCACTAAACAAAATCAAACACTGTATTAATTGAAAATAATATGTATTATTTTATTAATATTTGTATTGTATTATTTTTTATAGAAATAAGACGTGTTTTAGAGCTGTATTGTACCATTAAATACAAAATATTAAATAATAAATATGATTGAGACAAAATACAGTACACTCATTACAAAAAATAATGCAATAATTAAAAATAACATTAATAGTTTTTTTTCTAATATTTATATTTCCATATTATTATTATTTTATATAGAAATAATATTTTTTAGAGGTAATATGGTCGAGTACCATGAAATCTCACAATATAAAATATAAAATAATAAATATTATTGAAATATACTGTAGTACATACATTTAATAAAAAAGCACTGCAATAATTAAAAATAATATTAATTGTTTTTCTAATATTTATATTTACATATTATTATTATTTGCAAATAAATAGTTTATTTTTTGGAGGTAAATAATGTTGAGTACCATGAAATCCCCTCACAATACTAAATATTAACTAATAAATGAAGAGTTAATTTGCAAAAACAGATAACTCTGTTTTTAACAATTCTCAGAAATCATGTTTTTTCATTGTGCATTCCAATTAATCTCAATCAAACTGCAGTTGGGTTATTTTGACTAGGTTAAAAAATAACTAAAAAACCCCAGCTAACTAACACAATAAAAACATGATAATATTATAAAAACCATGATTTTTGGAAAAAAAACAAAAAAAAACGGAGTTATCTGTTTTTGCAAATAAACTCTTCAAATATTACTGAAACAAAATATAGTCCATTTATTTCATTGTAAAAATGGTCTGTTTTGAGGATTTATAATTACCCTTAGATGAAGGCGAGAGCGCTGCCCTCTTGATGGCGTACGTCTTCAGACATCTCTCGAACATGTCGTCCCACAGCTCAACAACTCCATCTTTACCCCCCGTCACAAAACCCTTCAGGTCACAACACACCATTAACAGCTGAGAAATGCATTCCACCTGCTGTTTATCTACATTTCTAAGCAGGATACCATGTACCTGTGGCAAAATCAGCTCACCTTATCCAGAGAGCACATGGCAAACACGGGCCCGTCGTGAGCTTTGATGCTCTTCATGAGCGTCGTGTCTTTCCAGATGTACACGTCACCCGTCGTCGCCCCAGAAAACACCAGATCCTCCGAGCGTCCGTAGCAGGCGGACATCATGGTCTCCTGCCTACCGAGATTCCCGAAAATGCCTCTTTTAAATGTTAAACCTCCTCCTGGAGTGAGAAATAAACATCAGGCAAATGCGTTTTCATTTATCCAGAGGAAAAAGCATCCAAAGCATTAGTTCACAGAGAGTAATTCAGTTACTGGAGCATTTGGTTTCGACTCACTGAGCTCTTTTTAAAGCTCTCGCTCACATTTAATTGGTAAAATACGGCGTGCTGATGGTAAAGTTGGCGAAACGGTCACATCAGCTTATGACGGCTCGATGTGATGTGGCAGATTCTCCTTACAGTCATGTTCTCGTGAGAGAGATGGGCAAGAGCTTATGCTTCAGATATTTCAGTAAAAACACTGTCTGCACATATAACAAACATCTTAAGCTGAAAACAAGTGCTACTGCCGTGATTTAGGATGCAAGACTCTCTCTAAAAAACAAATGAATCTCACCTGTGTGCAGCCAGAACTTGATGTGTTTCAATCCCACCGTCAGCAGTTTGTCCATGCGGAACGGGTTTCCTTTCACCACAAAGATCATGATCTTCGTCGATTCCCACAGACACTAAACTCTTGCCGTCCGCTAGATTTGAGAAAGTGAAGTAACAGAATGTGACGCAAAAATGCTTTAAGCAGTTGTAAATTGTATAAAAATAAGATTCTGGAAACATTAATGGAGATGCATTGGATTACTTTGCTTGAAACCAGGGAATTTTGTCAGAATATTTAATGCTTCAATGTAATTATTAAAAACATTAGCACACTCTGAAATACATCAAGTTTATGGGGGGAAAAAACTATTTAACATTAATTTTAACTCAAATCTCCAGTTTCTCAGCTGATTTCCATGTAATATGCAGAGTTATTTTAGTATCACTGAGAAATTATTATAGTTAATATTTTATTTTATACTTAATATTTTGAATTCATTTTTATTTTCTATTTTAATTTTAATTTTAAAGTTTAGAACTTTTGTTGTGAATTTTTTTTTTTTTTTTATAGTTTAAAATTTTTGATACATCTATTTAGTTTTTTATTATTTTAGGTTTATTTATTTTAGTATATTTGAGTTAAATTTAAATAAGGAAGGTGTCTTTGTCAACTAATTAAAATACAAGTAATTTATTGTATTTCAAAGTTATATATACATTTTACCCTGGTGAAATGTAAGTTTTATAAATTTAACTATTATTACTATTATAGTTAATATTTTATTATTTTATATTTAGTACTTCAAATTAGTTTTTATTTTTATATTTTCAGTTTTCATTAAATTTTAGTTCGTTTAAAAATTTGTATTTTTTAACTGTTTTTTTTAAAAATGTGCATTTTGACATTTTATTAGTTTACATTTTTTGTCTACATAGTTTTTATTAATTTTTTAGTTTTTGTTTTATTTCTTTTAGTACATTGAGTTAAATGAAAATGAAAAATGCATCCTTGAAAACTAATTCAAATAAAAAAATTGTTTTAATATAATTTATTGCATTTCAAAAGTTTCAAAAATAAAAGTAGGATTAAATAAATAAACATTAAAAGAGATGCATTTTATTACTGGTTTCAATGCAAATGATGTGGTGGTCTGACCTGTGAACTCCAGAGCACAAACCCCGCGCTGATGTTGACCCTTCAGCAGAGATAAACACTTGAGTGTCTGGATGTCCCACACATGGATGGCTGGATCTCGACCCACCTGACACACACAAACACACCAGCTCAACATCTGCATGATCTACACGCACGTCACATTTATTACCACGCCTTACAGAAAATACACACTCCATAAAATTATCACCAACCGAAGGTAATATGATCTGAAATAAGGCTGTGCACTGACAGCTCAAATCCAACTGTTAGGCATATTTGATAGAAATCTGTTTGGGGGAAAACCCTATCAAATCTGATCCGATCTTGAAATCTGATTTGTGGACAACAGTTTGAGTCGTAAAGCTCTCACCTGTCCGGTGGCCACGTAATCTTTGAGCGGATGCACAGTGAGGCTCAGGATATCGTCGTCATGACCGAGGTAAAAGCGCTGCGTGTGCTGCTGTCTGTTATACACCACCGCCACAGCCGCCACATGATACACCACCTCACCGGCCTGAGTGTAGAACAGATTATTCCTGCAGTCGCAGCCCCTGTACCTGAGACACAGACACACACCAGTCAACAACCACTGCAGCTATCAGCTCTGCTAATGTCAGCAGAGAGAAGCATTCGATTCCAAAAAATGTTTAGGCTCTGAAATATATTAAGTTTATAGAAAAAAACTATTTAGCATTCATTTTAACAAAACTCAACTTTCTCACATTTGCATTTAGGTTATATATAACCTGTTACGAATAAAAACTGTGTAAAAAAATTTAAAAATAAAAGTTTGAAAATGGATTTTGTCAGAATACACAAAAAATTCATAGAATTCATAGATTTTGTCAGAATACACAAAGTTCATAGGATAAATAAAATCTATATATAAATATATATATATATAATTAAAATTTAGAAAATTTTTTATACATACAATACAATTTATAACCCAAGAGAGGGTAAAAGATATGGACACACACTGTGTTCATACCAAACACATCATAATGTTTGCAGTGAATTTACCCATGGACGAACTGCAGACGCAGCCCCTCGTCCGGAGCTTTCTGCCTCTTCAGAGATCCAGCCAGTCTCTTCTTGAGCTGAGGAAGATCTTCCTTATACACCTGAGGGTTGTTTGGGAGAAGAGTTACAGGGAGAAATCCACTAGAGACACATTCAGAGATTCAGAAAAAGCATAAAGGGCAACAGCAGCCGGCTAAATCAGCTGTGAAAATAATGAGAGGAACAGGAAGAAAACAGCCGAGCATGACTGTTACATAAAACACTCGACATAAGACCCGCTCAGTTTGGGATCTTGGATTTTGAATAAAAACTGTGTAAAAAAATTTAAAAATAAAAGTTTGAAAATGGATTTTGTCAGAATACACAAAAAATTCATAGAATTCATAGATTTTGTCAGAATACACAAAGTTCATAGGGGGAAAAAAAAAATCCAATTTAACATTAATTTTAACTCTTTTAATTTAAATCTTAAAGTTTCTCAGCTGGTTTTCTAAGATGTGGGTTATATATATATATATATATATATATATATTTGAAAAGCAATAAAAGAAAATTCTTTAAAAAATTTAAAAAATCAAGAAAAACCCAGCCCCTCGTCCGGAGCTTTCTGCCTCTTCAGAGATCCAGCCAGTCTCTTCTTGAGCTGAGGAAGATCTTCCTTATACACCTGAGGGTTGTTTGGGAGAAGAGTTACAGGGAGAAATCCACTAGAGACACATTCAGAGATTCAGAAAAAGCATAAAGGGCAACAGCAGCCGGCTAAATCAGCTGTGAAAATAATGAGAGGAACAGGAAGAAAACAGCCGAGCATGACTGTTACATAAAACACTCGACATAAGACCCGCTCAGTTTGGGATCTTGGATTTTGTTGGGGTTTAAGTGTCTCTTGCCTGACGCTCGTAGTTCATCTGGGCCTCCTGTTCGATGTCTGAGTCCAGCTCGGGAACGTCGGAGAGGTCAGAGTCAGAGTCGCCGCTGTTAGAGTCGGCGTAGCTCTCTGTGAACGAGAAAACACTGCTTTCAGAATTTCTGCTTTCTCTGTAGTTCACTCATTTCAGTCCAAACTTTCAATCGAAATGTCAAAATAAAATGTACAATTAAAAACACTATACTCATTTTTATTCAGGGCTTCCCAAACTTTTTTGTCAGCCGAATCCTTTAGACGTAAAATATTTACTTACACTACCCCTGAGATTTCAACTTAATATTTCAATAATTTAATGACACATTCACAAGTTCATGATTGGTTGATGTTGGTTTGTGGTCACATGACATGCAAGCAAACAGATAAAATATCTAATATTTTTAATAAGTATTTTATTTTTTTATCTTAAAATTATTATACATAAGGCTGCATGTATCGGTATGTATAGAGCTTTTATTATTATTATTTTATATTATTTATACTAATTATTTATTATATTATTATATTAATTAAATCTAAATATATGATTATATTATGTGTTATTTTTTAATTACTATTGATTATTATTAAGTGTTTTAACAATCATAAAAATAACATTATAAACATTATTGTTGGAAATTACAATTATACTGTAAAATAAAACAAAATATCTTAGGCCTAATAATTATTTTATTTTACACTGCAAGTTACAAAACTAGTTTTTTTTTTTAATTCTTAATTTTCAAATGTTAAGATTTTATTTACTAAAAATGCATAAAATATTTGCATAAATATTGACCTTTAAAATGTAGATGAACCATAAAGTGTCATTACTTTTCACGACTTTACCATTGACTATTAATGAATTTCCAACACCTTTTTTTTGACAACGCCGCATTTGAGAAGGTTTTTGATCACTTTTCCAGGTCTAAAAAAAAAAAAATCACAATTTTAAAATTCCCTGACATTTCCATATGCTTCATTATTTGCGAAAACCTAGTATTTTCAATAATGCATAAATGCCAACTGTTTCCGAACAGGTTTTCATGTCCCATAATAAACTAAAATAAATGAGCTTCACCTTGCAGCAGCGGCTTCAGAACTCCGTTCATGACTCCCTCCGGCAGAAACCTCCACTGGAAGACGGAGTGATCGGCTCCGCCCGTGCTCAGAACCCACTGCAGGTCATGTGACCAGCGCACATTGGTCACATGGGCAGAGTGGCCGATGTATTTCTTGAATTTGGCAGCTGAAAGAGTCACATTTGTTAGCACACACTGGTTTATTCAGCACGGATCACACAGATATCTGGATAACCGAGCTGACCTTTTTTAAGACAAGGGAATCGGAAGAGTTTGACGAGGCCGAAGTCGTCGCCCGTCACCAGCACTGCACTGCCGTAGTTTGCATCCACAGAATTGATGTCGTTCACGTTGGAATATTTAGGCCAGATTCCGTTGACCTCAGTTCCAAGAACACAGGTCCACGTCATCCAATGGATTCCTTTGGCTTCCTCCTTCGGCAGGAATTTACCGGCTATAGACACAGAGGAACAACAGTTAGGACAATTATAAGCATGATATGATTAATAAAATACCTTACAGTGCAGTATGTAATTCAGGGTTTCATGACCTTTGCAGCGTTGTTGATTGCTGGACAAAGATTTTCAAAAATCATATAGAATGTCTTTGTTGTGAATTCCTGGAGACTTTTTAATATCCAAAATGAGTCAAAAATGTTTTAAAACTTGAATTTGAACTGATGTCATATTGTTAACTTGCTTGCGGGAGAAATTTCCTCTACAGAAACACAGAGTGAAATATTTAAAACTTTAAAAATGTCTATTGACATTTAAAATGTAAATTAATTCTAGAGTGTTATTAATTTTCATGGCTTTGCATTAATTATTAACAAATTTTCAAGACTGTTTTTTGACCAGCAACCACCTTTGAGAAGGTTTTTAATGACTTTTTCAGGTTTGGAAAATTTTAAAATAGTTTTTCATGACGGTGAAAACCCTGTTAATTTAATAAAATGCAAACATATTTGCATAAATATTAAAAACATAAATATTTAAAACTTTAACAATGCATACTGACTTTTGAAATTTAAATTAATTGTAAAGTGTTGTTAATTTTCAAGACTTTCTATGAATTATTGATCAATTATAAAACTTTTTTATCACCAGCAACCACCTTTAAGAAGGGTTTTCATGACTTTTCCAGGTCTGGAAATCACAATTTTAATTTTTCATAACTGTGAAATCCAGAGCAATTTAAGAACATGCAGAAATATTTGCAGAAATATTAAATGCATAAATATTTAAAACTTTAACAACGTATATTGCATTAAAAATTTAAATGAATAAAAAAAGTTTCATTAATTGTCATAGATGATTAATGAAATTCCAAGATTTTTTTTTCACCAGTGCCACTTTTAAAAAGGTTTTTCATGACTTTTCCAGGTCTGGAAATCATAATTTTAAAATTGTCTTTCATGACTGTGAAAAATGTAAATTAATTGTAAAGTTTTATTAATTTTTAATTATTACAAATTATTAATTCTGTAATAAAAGAAAATCATAAATATTTGCATAAATACCCAATGTATACTGACTTTTCACATTTTAATTTCATGACTTTCACATTAATTATTAATGAATTTCCCAGATCTTTTTCACAAGCACCCACTTCTGAGAAGGCTTTTGATGGAAATCACAATTTTAAAATCATTTTTCATGACTGTGAAAACCCTAATAATAATAAAAAAAAAAAAAAAAAGCATGAATACTGATTGCTTCCAAACAGGTTTTCGTGTCCCATAATTAACTGGAATTTAACATTTTATCATCCAACTTCACTAAAATAGCTTTATGACTTTTCCAGGTCTGAAACAGTTTTTCATGACTGTGAAAACCCTAGTAATTTATACAATGCATATTTGAATAAAGATTTAAAACTTTAACAATATATACTGACTTCCGAAATTTTAATGACTTAATGAAAAAATGCATAAATATCGACTGTTTCCAAACAGGTTTTCATGTCCCATAATTAACTGGAATTTTGTATTTTATCACGCATCTTCACCAAACAAAAAATTGCACAATTTTTGAAAGAAAATACAGCTTGGAATTTATACATATCGTAAAGTGTCAATAATTTCCACAACTTTCCCATTCATTATAAATGAATAATTATTTTTACTTGGCATCCTGTAGAAGAATCGTTCTCCAGCTCCATCGTTGGTCTGCAGGAAGCGGCTGTCCACGGACCAGTCCAGGTGTGTTATGAAGCAGGTGGACTTGTTGCACTCTCCCACTTTCTTATAGCGTTGGGCCACAGCGTAGATGTCCACAAGCCCGTCGTTTGAGCCCACGGCCAAATAAGAGCCATCGGGTGAGAACTTGAGCTCGTGAATGACCTCCTTCCTGTCCTTGATGTGGACCACCTCCGTCATGTCCCTTCGAAAACCAGACAGGCTCTCAGTTTGTGAATAATGAAGCTGAAATAATGAAGTGTAGGGGATCCAAATTCAATTACCTGACACGAAGAACAGTGAAGGAGCCGTCCTTCATGCCGAGAGCCAGCTGGGAACCGTCGTTGTTGAAGGAAACGCTGCGAACGGCCTCTTCCATGTTACAGCGAGCGATCAGCGTGTGTTCGGACAAACTCCACAGTCTAAACAAGCATGTTTGAGGAAAATTAAAATGTGTCCTGTCCATATTTATGTCTGTATTGTATGCTTAATCTAGGGCTGTGTAATATGGCTAAAAATATTACAACAATATTTTCCCCATATTACACGATATTGATATTTATCACAATATTCATTTACTATTAATGGGGAAGGAAATGCAGTCCACATGTTTGTTAGACCTTGAGAATTAACTTTAATCAAGGCCCAATAAATCCATTTTATTTTCCCCTAAATTCTATGTATTCAATTTTTTTCTATATTTATAGATGATCATTTAATGCAAATTTAATAAAACTTTAACAATTAAATGTTTTTCCAAATGTAATCAAATAAAATATATAACAAATAACTTTGATCAAAACAAGTTTTTTAGTGAAGTAAAATGCAAATATGGATGAAAAATTATCTTGGTTATATGATATTCCTTAAAAATAAAAATATTACTATTATTATTACTTTGAGAAGTAAAAAGTTAAACCAGGCTTTTATTTTGATGATTTGTTGTGAAGATTTCATTTCAGTTTTTAGTTTCAGTCCCAGGGTGTATTTGACAGTAGTTTTTCTCAAATTAAATGGTAATCAATTACAAATATAAATTAATTTACAACAAAATATTGCATTTTTATTTATTTTTTGTCATATAAGATGCTGAACAACAGAACTGTATAAACTAAAACATGGATGAAAAAATATATTGGTTGTATGATATTCTTTAAAAATGAAAATATTATGATTATTACATTAAGAACGGCATTTTAGTATAGAATGGTACTATATTTTGTCATAATTTCTTCATGTTAAACCAGAATTTATTTTGACAGTTTGTTGTGAATATATTTCAATTTCAGATTGAATTTGATGGTATTTTTTTTCAAATGAAACAGTGTAAAGCTGCTGTAGTGACTCACAGAGCAGCTCTTGGAAATGAAGTTAATTTGTTCATGTCTCATAAATTGAGATGCAGCCACTGAAAACACTGCGAGCATCATGTGTGTTTGAGTGTGAAATGTCCAGATTGTTTATCGCAATCTCAATACAATAACGTTTATTGCCCAGCCCTAGTTTAAACATTCTGAAAAACCAAACATCCTATTTCCACCCATCTTGCTCCATTGTTTACTGTGTGAACTGATGTGGCATGAACTGAAATCCAATAGCAGGATTGGACTGACCGTACGGATCGATCGTCGCTGCCTGTGACGGCCAGCGGTTGTTTGGGATGCAGGTCGAGGGCCCAGAGCTCCCCCTCTGAATGACCCTGCATGATCAGCAGCGGTTTATCTCGGTCTCTCACCATCACCTCGAAGATCTCGCTGTCTTGAGTTCCTGCCAGGATCCTGTCAGCCCTCCAACACACGCTGCGGATGGACAGACCTGGAGAGAAAGAGTCATTCAGGTTCATCAAATTAAAGTCCAACACCAAGCATTCCTGGTTATCAGCAAATACTGGGATTTTTAGAAAATTATATGACATCTACACTTTAACTAAGGTCCACGGGAAGATGTCCAGGCATCTTAACTAGTTTAAACATTCAAAACTGGTTAAGATTACCATAAACGTGTCCCTCAGTTTGTAAAAACAAGCAGAAGTTGTTGGAAACAAAACAACTTGACTTTATCTAATCTGGATCTGGTGGGCTGCATTATAAAGTTTTTAAAATTTTATATATTTTTCAAAATGATTTTTCAAAATTCTATGAATAACTTTAAATCATCATTTGTTTTCTAATTTTTGATGTGTTTTAACTTAAGCATTTTCTCCATCAAGCCAATTATTACATTACAAAGCAGTGCTGCTATCATTTTCTAAAACGAAAACCATAGAAACTGAAATAAAGAAATAACTGAAGTAAAGCTGGAAATAGATAAAATATAAGTATGAAAAACATAAATAAATAAAGCCATGCCTATTAAAAACGATAAAATAATCAAATAATTTAAATATTAAATAGAAATATATAAAAATTAAATATATAAATATAAATACTAGATGAAAAAATAAAACAATTAAATTAGAACTGAAATACTATAAAGTAAACTTCTAAAACTGAAATAGATATAAATTAAAAATAATTATACAAAAATTTCAAAATATATTCATATTCATGTATACTGTATATTATATACATTAAAAAGACAAAAGCACATAACAAACGTAAGCTAAAGCTTATTCAAAATACTAATAAAACCAATAAAAGTATATAAATAATACTGTTACTTAGCAGAAAAAAATTAAAATCGATGTTACAAGGTATATAAAAAAAATCCACATACAAGAAATTAAACCAGTAACTCCAAACCAAACGTTATTTTACTTAGAAAAAAGCACCACTTCTAAAAGACGACATTAAGAGCTCAAAAACACACACATTATTGTATTGAACAATTAATATAATCACAAAAAAATAGCTGTGTAAAATAGAGTGTAAAAAGCTTCACACTCATCAGCTGTCATAAGCTGGTGTTTTAAGCAGGACAGAATGTAATTGGCTCATTAACTGACTGTATAGACTCAAAAATAAACCTTTAAAGCAGAAAAAGTAAAAAATGTGTTATATGGGAGTCTAAATTGGACAGACCAGCAAAATGTCAAACAAATAAACCCAGTGTGAATCGTTACGTTTGATGGACTTCTCTGATCCAAATGAGTCAAAAGTCTTCATCCAGTAAGAGTACAGAGCTATAAAAGAGCAGCTCGGATCATCTGATGAGAAACGTTTGAGTTCATATTGAGATCTCTGACTCTTAATTACAGTCTTTGAGACACTGTTGAGATCTCTTCTGAAAGATTACTGGGGTGATTTTCTCAGGAGAGATGTCTGAGAAGCAGGAGACTTCAGAAGAAGACACTCGGCAAAAGTCTGGCATGAACAATTGAGATATTTTCCGTTTTTTTTCTTTCCAGCAGGAAGCGTTCGGCGAGGTTTGTTAAATCTGCTGAGATTTCGGTTTCAGACTGACCGGATCTGATCTGATCTGATAGTTATCTGACAGTCTTCTGCTGTGAAAGCGCTGACAGCTTCATTGCTACAAGACTTACATCTGCTGAAAACACTGTCACTCGTGTGATATAAGCGCAGGCCGTGTTGCCATGGTGACACAATCCCTTCTATACTGAGTTTGCAGTACCTCCATAAGGAGTCAAACGATGGATGCAATGCGATTTCCTTTTGAAAAATGGCCAATAATGGTACAAGCTTTTGTGGTTCATTACATAGAGCCCTATTATTCTTATTATACAGTATATACACTATTATTATTATTTACACAAACAAAATCACTGAATCCAGTCACAAAAATGGAATTTACTGTTTAACACAGAATGTCATGGAATTTGGCAAAATTTAAATCAATAAATTGAAATGTACACTTAATCTTCAGACAGAGGTCTTCACTACAACCCGCCAAAAGAAAAGTTTGGTTTAACATATAATTCGCTTTAACTAATAGCAATAATACAGTTTATTAAACACAATTTTTAGTCCATGTTTTAATTTTACTCGTAAACCTCTGTTAGGGTTCAAAAATGTCTCTGTTAGTTCACATTTCATTTGATAACATTTTAAAAGATTCAATTATTATCTAAGTTTTATGATGTGAGTTTTTATTGATGTAGTTCATTTGATTATCAGCCATTTTTATCATAGATTTTTATTAAGTCATAAAACACAGAATCCAGAACACTCAAAACAGACAATCAAGAATTTCAGAAAAGTCCCTATTATTGTTAAAAATGTAACGAATTACTAAATTGTTCAAGTTTCATGATTCCTTTTTGATTATTAAAATTTAACGAAACCATTAATAGTGGAATCAAGGAAAATTAAAAAATGAAATGTCATTGTTAAAAGTGCGATGAATTATTAAATTGTTAAAGCTTTATGAATCCAATTGATTAAACATCCTTTTTGATTATTAAAATTTAATTAAACCATAAAAAACATGTTTTTTATAACTGTACTGCCTTAATGGTTTGATGTTTTGTACTGTTTAATAGAAAACAAAAGTCGGGAAAAAGATTCACGCTATGCGTTCCAAAGTCCCACCAATTCATGCAATTCACACTTGGTCAGATTAGAAATAGTTATTTGCTGTGTAAATGTTAAAGGGGTCATATGATGCGATTTCAAGTTTTCCTTTCTCTTTGGAGTGTTACAAGCTCTTGGTGCTTAAAGAAGATCTGTAAAGTTGCAAAGACTAAAGTCTCAAATCCAAAGAGATATTCTTTATCAAAGTTAAGAGTCAACCACGCCCTCCTAAAACGGCTCGTTCTAACACGCCCCCACACTGTAAACCCGAACAGTACAGTATTTGAAAAATAATGTGTTTTTTGAACATTAAAGCATGTCAACATATTCTGTTACACCAAATACACAAAATAATGATCTTTAAAATAGCATCATATGACCCCTTTAATGAAGTCAAAGATGTGTTGTGAATGAGCATGTCACACAGTACATTAAACTATTTCAAAAGTGCAAGAAAAAGGTCCGCTGCAATGTTTTACCTTTATAACCCTGTTCTGCCTCCCGGAGGTCAATCTTGGTGATGGGTTTGAAATCCACGTCCCACAGCCTCACACATCCGTCCCGCCCACCGGTGGCGAAGCCTTCTTCACATGAATGCATGCTGAAGATCCCTGCCTGCAGAACAACGAGAGTTTACAAACGCATGTGCAACAGGTCACACATCACCACATGCTATATTCACTAATGTCACAGATGCATGACACAGATGGCCAATGCATTGAATGTCTGATCATAAATTGTAACTTCAGTGAATGTCCTTTAATGGAGATGCTATAGCGCACAGCTGATGTATATGTGGTGGGAGTGATGGTGTAGGAAGTGTGATGAGCTTCACTCACTCCATGGGCCGCCTGTATCGTTCTCGTCAGGTTGAGCCCCTTCCACACGTAAATGTCTCCATTTAGAGCTCCAGAATACGTCACTTCATCTTTCGCCGTTGCCAAGCAGAGGATGGTTTGCAGGTCCCCCGTCTTTCCAAAGATCCCTCGTTTTGGTGTCAATGCATTTCCACATAATGTCCAAAACTATGAGACAAAAGAGAAAATCACCTCCATATTTAATTCATTTCAGTTTGTTGCTCATGCAAATTAGCTTTAAATCTTAAAATATTGTGCATGCATAACTTCGTTTTTAGAGCTTGACATCTGTGCATTCACTTTTACTAAATGGAAAGTCATACAGGTTGACGAAATCAGACAGAATTAGATTTTTGGCTTTAAATTATATTCTTCTGTCTCAGTTGTTCAGTATGTTAATGCATTTCTTGAAGTCTATGAAAAAGCATTGCATTTGCAGTAAAGATGAAAACAAGAAAGGAAAGGAGGAATAAATTACGGCATGTTTTCCAGTGATGCCTCATTTATTTGTTTCCGAGAGCGGGTTCGAGTGAACTTTGTCTCAGAGGTTTGACTCACTTTAATGTGCTTGACTCCGCAGCTCACCAGTCTGTGCAGCACAAACGGGTCCCAGGAAATATCAAAGATCTGAAACGCAGCACAAACAGGTGGAATAAACATGTCAACTCTTCCACAACATCTCCCATAACTTTCATAACGCCAAAACTGATTACACTGAATTAAGCAAAAGTCTCTAAAATTATACACAATGCAAAAGATAATGGAAATTATAATGCAAATACCTGAAATCATATTTGCTGAATAAAATCCAATACTTGTTTCTTACTAATTTTGAGGTGCTGATTCTAAAAATAGTGGCGGTTTTGCTCAAACACGACACACTTTCTCATAAAATATGATGCATTTCATAGCATTTTTGCTTTCAACAACCATTAGTAAGGTGAAGAATTCTCGTATTATCTCTTAATCAGCAGAAAAACACCACAAAGCTATGATTCTTATCTGAATCTGAGCCACATCCCAATGATTTGCTCAATTCTCAGCCAATTTTCACATGACTGATTCTGAAGACATTGAATGTCTTGAAGATATTATTGAATGATTCTGAAGACATTATTTTATGCATGATCCTGATTTTTGCAGACTGTAATTTAAATGATCAATTTTGAATTTTTTTGGTCATTAAAACCAATTTTACTGCTTTTGTTATTTTGATAAATGCATTAAAGCAGATACATACATACTTTTTAAAAAGTGGGAAAAAACTGCATGTTGGAAAGTTTTTATTGTTATTTTTGAACTCAGCATCATCAAATTAGGCAAATCAGCTGTTATATTTAGTATAATTGGGATACTAGTATTTTTTATTAATATTTTGAATAAGAATTTTGAATTAAATTTTTTTTATATTTTCCACTTTCATTTAAATTTTAGTTCAAGTTTGTAGTGACTTTGTAGCGTGTTTTGTCATTTTTATAAGTTTTTTTTTTCATATCTCTATATGGTTTTTATTGATTTTATTTAGGTTTTAGTTATATTATTACATAACATGAAATAAAATACGTTTTTCTTCAGATATTTTTGGCAAATTATTTTTTATTTTTTTTCAAGATCCAGGGCTGTGTAATTATAGTCATGCTTGCTAATTAGCTAAAAATTCAGCAATTTATAACAAGAACAATGCATTAAGCATCTTAATCAACATCATTTTTCTTCTTTCCATAATTCTTCATTTTAAACTATCCATTTATCTTTCAAACAATGTGATTTCTTCATTATTTGCATGCATTATCTGCAAATAAACACTTCATAAAGCCTTCTTGTTGCTCAAACAGTAGATCATGCCGCTAGCAACGGGTTCGATTTCCAGGGAATGCATGAAGTGATCAATCATATACCTTGAATGCAATGTACTTTTATCTGTGCTTCAGATAAAAGCTTCTGCCAAATGCATGAATATAAAATGCAAACGATATAAACTCTAAATTGCTTTATATTCCATTGGCAGACCCGGCAGTGAAGCTGTTGCGCTGGAACAGCAGCGAGAAGACAGCAGGGTTTTAATGGCACCTTAGGGAGTCTTGTGGTGTCTGTGGTTCTTCACTAAGCTGCTCTGTCATCTCTGCTGAGGCTTCAGACTCCCTTCACACTGAGCGTGTGTGTGTGTGTGTGTGTTGTCTGTCAGTTCGTGCATTGAAATGCTCCTTTGTACTGTAGCACAACACAATAACTTATTCATAACGCTCTTAACGGTTATTCATTCACATCACTGAGGTGTAGCATCTGTTGCTATGGAAACAGTCCTACCATGTGTCGACTGGATGGGCACTTTCTGTGCTTTTCACTTCATGCACTAAAGTCACAAACTTTCTGGCCTAATGAATGAAATGCTGGACTGTGCGGTTTTGATGTAATTAACTGTCGGTAATGAGGAACAGTCAGTTCTGTTCTTACCCTATCAGAATGTCCCGTGGCGGTGGCTAAGACACGCCCCTTTTTCCAGTCCCACACGCACACCGTGTTTTTGGCATCAAGTCCCACAGACGCTAAACGCTGAATGTTCAAAAACACAAGACAGGACAAAATAAGCCGTTAGATGAGAGCATTTGCACACAGATGAAGGTAATCTGATTTTAATAACAATACTACTCAGGGTTAATATAGTTACCTAAAAATAAGACTGAAACTAAAATTAAAACAATTAAAAAAATTTTGTTACTTGAAATAAAATAAACTAAGCTAAAATAAAATACACAAAACATTTTTTATTTCAGCTAGCTGACAAAGAAGCATTTCTTATTTTCTTATTTCTGTTTAGGTGTTTGTTCACATAAAGACCATGATTAACGCATATAAAGAGCGCATCAAATATGGTAAAACATTTTTTTTTTTTTAAATCACACATTTGAGCTTCCATGTTAATTACTATTAATACATTATATATATATATATATATATATATATATATATAGGGGGCTATTTTTATGGTTATTTCTGTTTAGGTGTTTGTTCACATAAAGACCATGATTAACGCATATAAAGAGCGCATCAAATATGGTAAAACATTTTTTTTTTTTTAAATCACACATTTGAGCTTCCATGTTAATTACTATTAATACATTATATATATATATATATATATATATATATATAGGGTGCGATTTGTATGGGGGGATTTCCCCCCTTCTGGTCTATTTCAGAGTGACAGTATGAGATTAATACTCAATGTTTTTTCTTAAAACTCACTCTACTGTGACCTAATGCAGATATTATAAACTGACACATAAGTGTATTATGAGACAGAACGCAGAAGTTTCTAACAATAATAATATTTTAACTAAGCAGAATCATGAATATTTCTATTGTGTATCTTATTTTGTTAACCATTTATCATATAACTTAGACGTAATAATAAAAAAGTACCATTTTAACTGTAGTTTGTTGAAAGTATAGTGAAAGTATCGTATCATGAGATCAGTATTGTGCGTCAAGCCATGTATTGTTACACCCCGAAATATGACAAAAATATGTTCATATTAATACGTTTATTGCTTATGTATTTGAGAATGCAGCCAATCAGAATGAAGTATTTCAGAGAGCCGTGCAGGAAGTCATGTGACTCACCTGGCCGTCGGTGTCGAAGGCCAGACAGGCCACACCGTGCGTGTGAACGTCTCTGAGGATGGACACGGTGGTCAGAGCGTACGAGTCCCACACGCAGATATACGGATCCTTCCCAACCTGACCTGTGGCCACCTGGATCTTATCCGGATGCAGCGCTAGACTGAGAACAGAAGAGACACGCGCCGTGAGATACACTGACAGAAAGACAGACAGAAAAGAGAAGAAAAGCAAAGCAAAGAAAATAAAAGAGAAGAAAAAAGAGAACTGAAATATTGAAAGACATTAAAAAGCTTCATTTGAGTTACTTATAAATATCTTATATAAAAACATTATATACTAATATATCATAAATATATAAAAACATTTCAGTCTGGCTTCCGTCTACTACATAGTACTGAACCTGCCCTTGTAAAGGTAGTGAACGATTTATTACTTTCTTGCGACACTGGCTCACTATTTTTACTTCTGCTACTTGAACTCAGCTCTGCCTTCGATACGATCTCTCATGATTTGCTTATTTCTCGCCTCTCGGATGTGGGTATATCTGGTACTACTCTTTCCTGGATCTCTTAATACCTCCTTGATAGACAGTTCTACATCTCTGTTCAGGATTTCAGATCTCCTACTGCCCCCCTGAAACAAGGCGTCCCCCAGGGTTCCATTCTTGGGCCTTTGCTGTTTATCATTTATATTTTACGATTGGGTCTGATTCTACAGCATCATGGCTTTAGCTATCATTTTTATTCTGATGACATTCAAATTTACACATCTTGCAGGCCTTCTCTATCCACCCAAATTGACCAAATTTCTATTTGCATGCAGGAAATAAAAGTATGGCTCAACTCTATTTTTCTAAAACTTAATATGGATAAAACTGAGATCATCATTATTGGAACCCCGTCACTCACTACCAAAGTTCCCGCTGACTTTACCTGCGATATCACTGGTACTCTCATCGCACCATCTTGTATCGTCAAAAATCTTGGGTGTTATGTTTGACTCCTCTCTTTCTTTTCAGTCTCATATTAAATCAGCATTCTTTCATTTACAACGAATTGTCCGGCTCAGTCTTTTCATTATTGTCAAATATGCAGAAACTCTCATCCATGCTTTTGTTTCATCACGTCTCAATTAGTGGTCTACCGATATATCGACAAGGCCGATATATCGGCTGATATTTGGCATTTTTCAAATATCGGCATCGGCCGATAAGTTTTTCTCTTTGGCCAATGTGTTCGAGGCGGGACGTTTATTTTGATGGTGCTGAGAACGGCAGCGCCTGAGCACACACCACATTCTCCCTCTTGTTCGCTGTCGTCGTTCAGTTCTGTCTAATATGGATAGAAGTCTATCTAATAATCAGATAAAACTGTTAAACAAATTAAAATGTATACAAAAAAGTATTATAACGATTGCTTTAATATTATTAGTAATAGAAAGGCAAACATTATAATACTTTCTCATTTGCCGTCAGCATTCAGTAAATACACATTAATATTATTTAAACAAATCTTTGAATGTCTAATAAACATCTAATTTCACAAACCTTGCAGACTTAGTCAAATCTAGTTGAGATCTTGTGAAGTGCGCATTTGTATCCTGCATGATCGCGTGTTGTTCTCTGCGTGATGGTCGGTCCGTGTGAATTGAATGCTTACAGGAGGAGAGTTCTGCTTCACTGGAGACGCGCGATCGAGAAACTTTAATCTCGTGACTGATTTCAAATTATGCTGCGCTTTATGCATTTGCCCACTGTCATATTCATGTCATTTTCATTGCGTGCTGTATGTAAAATGAGTGTTACCTTGGCTTTATTTGAAAAAAAAAAAAAAATTATATCGGCTTTATATCGGCCACCCTGCTTTCCAAGATATCGACATCGGCTGTCAAAAAACCCATATCGGTCGACCACTAGTCTCGATTATTGTAATGCCCTTTTCATTGGCTTACCCGTTGCCTCCATTGCTAAATTACAGTATATTCAAAACTCAGCTGCTCGTATTCTCACCCACACTAATTCATTTTTATATTTCCTATTTTTTTTTTATGTTTGTAGATTTTTTTGTAATTAAATTTTTTTTTGTAATTTTGTAATTTTTTGTAATATCTCTATATAGTTTTATTTTATTTATTTATTTTTTCACTTTTAGTTTTTAAATAGTTTTAAATAAAACAAGTTTAATTTTTTTTAAATAATTATTTTATATAATTTAATATATAATTAGTTTTATTCCAGTTCATGCAGTTAATGTTTATTTTATTTAAAATAACAAAAATGGTTATGTTTACTTTGTTAACTGTATAGTTAACCAAAAGTGTATAGACACACACATACTTTTGGACAGAACAAAAAAATGAAAACTGTTTTTTATTATTTTATTACCCATATATCACACACACACACATATATATATTTACATTTATGGGGCCAAAAAATACACACAGTCTTTGCCAAAATAAAATGACAGTCAGAAGTCTGATAATGAGACTGGATGGATGGATCTCATTAAAACACATTAAAATTTTTAACACATTAAAACACATTAAAATACATGAACACAGAAAGTCTGATTATGCGACTAAACACTAAATAAAGCCGAGTGTGGGAAAGACGCACGGCTGAGGAAAGCACAGCAGGATCAGCACATATGAGACGACTGACTTTCCGACAGGAAGATGATGTCACAGACGAACCGACTCTCTCCACGGCAACAGCTCTGCCATGGTGACCGCCAGCGAGAGCCGAAGCTCCTGATTCAGCAGGTGCAAAACAAACTCAAAACCAACCAGAATAATCACAAGCCAGTGCTGAAACTTCGTAAATGCTTATTTAGTTCCTGTATTGAGAGATTTGTTTGGGACGGGCCTACTGTACAACATACTGTCAATGGACAACAGCAGAGACATAATATGCATGCTATTTCCAAAGCACTCTGCTTCAGTTTAGTATTAGTTATACTATTATAGTATTTATTCATATTTTGAATTGTTTTATTTTTATATTTTCAGTTTTTGTTTAAATTTTTGATTTATGTAATTTAATGTCAGTTTTTGTGCTCTTGTCATTTTGAAACATTAAAAAAAATTCTATAAAGATTCTATATAAAATTAATTATATGAAATTAATTAATCTAATTGCATTTTTTTCATTTATTTTTCATCTAATATTTATATTTTATTTCAGCTTTATTTCAATTACCGAGCATGACTTCTATATAGCATCTAGAAGTTATTTTTTAATGTAGTTTGTTTTACATCTGATATTTATATTTAATTTTCTTTCAGCCTAATTTTAATTTAAAAAATGACAAAATGACTTCTTTCAGTTTTTAGTAATTTTAGAACTTATTTTAGGTTTTTATTGCACATGCACACACACACACACACACACACACACACACATATATATATATATATATACACAGTATATTAGCTTTTTTTCATAATTTTAGCTGTAATTTTAGCTTTATTTCAATATTTCAAATACTGAAAATGACTTCTATATAGCTTCTATGTTTTTCTTTAAGTTATAGTTTGAGTAATTTTTGTACCTCAACTTAAACTGATTTATTTTTATTTTTTTTTACTTAGCTGTTTTTTTATCTAATATTTATATTTTATTTTATTTCAGTTACCTAAAATTATTATTAATAGTTTTAGTTAACAATAACAAAACTGCTAATAACAGCCATTTACCATGCTAAAATGACTGGCATGCATCACTTCAGGCAGTTTATTGCTTTATTAAATGTAATGCATGATTATGGCATCATTCTAGCAGCATCACAGTGATTTACTGTACGAGAGCGAGTCGCATTCACTCCAGTCCCATTAGAGCTCTGATATGAACACCCTCATCGCCTGCCATCAGGACCAGCAGGAGTTTCCTCTCAAACGCAGATCAAAGGCAGATTAAGCAGGGCTAAACGCCCTCAGCGCGTGTGTGTGTGTGTGTGAGAGAGTGTGTTTCAGAGAGCTTGCAGGACGATCAAAGTCTCTCCGTGTCCACTGGCATGAAACCCAAGCCAGCAGCTGTGCCGTGTGCCAATGCAGTTATGAGCTGCACTGACCCGTTTACTTTATACACATTAGATGCATAAAAACTACCTTTTTACAATTCAATCAATTCTTTGTATACATAGATTTTTTTTTTTTTGTTGAATATCCTGTTTTTACTTTGAAATGCATCACATTAGGGAAGTAAAATGGTTTGACATAAATCAGTGTTCTTTTAGTATTATTGATATATTATTGAAGTATTTATTCATATTTTGAATATGCTTTTTTATCATATGTATCTAATTACATAATTGTTTAGTATTATTTATTGTATTATATTTTTGCATTATTTATGTAAAAAATTATATTATTTATTCATACTATTTATAATATTTATTAATATTTTGAATTAGGTTTTATTTTTATATTTTAATTTTTCAATTTAATTTTAGTTTACGTTTCTGTGATTTTATGTGCTGTTAAATGTAGCTTTTTTCAGTTTTAGTTGTAGTAATTTTAGTATCTCAACATTTCATTTAGTTGTAACATACCATCTATTTAAATATTTTTTTGTCTTTTAATGTTTCTTCATCTATATTTATATTTATTTATATAAATATATAAATATTTATATTTTATTTAAAATGGTCTTAAACCAGTCTTGCCATTTTTATTTTAGCTTACATTTTTGTAATTTTGTCATGTGCTTTTGTATTTTGTATTTTTTATATATATATTTCTATATAGATTTAAATTAATATTTTTATTTGTTTTAGTCTTAATATACTTAAACTCTCATTTTTGTAAAAGTTTAAAGTTGACATTTTTCATCTAAAATGTACATTTTATTTTAGCTTTATGTCAATTACGGAAAATGGTTTGTAATAGATTTAGTTTTAGCTAACAATAAACGCATTCTCAAACAGTGCTCAAATTTGCTCAAGATACCAATGTCTGCAATCATAGTCAGAGATCTCAGTATGAACGATCTGTGTGTATCATTTGATGCATCAAACTTAACTCATCCCACACCATTTAACAGACATAATAACTGCAAAACACCTCGTATACTCAGATCACCTTAGCAACAGTATCAAACCACATTTGCAACCAAAAAGAAAACGCTATAGGGCCTATAGCATCAAGGTGACAAGTTTTGCA